TACAATAAAATGAAATGGGGAAGGGATGAATATTTCAATTAARGACGGAMTWGACTAAGGAAAAAAATATCATGACTGCGAATAACGCAACACTTTTAAAATGCGATGAGCAAGTATCTTTTATGTTTAAAAACATATCAAAAATATCCAAACATCAAATGCAAACTATCGAAATATGCCTTTTAATTAAAGAGTTTCGTTTATTTTCATTTCAATACACCTCTCTGAACCTTTCATGTCATGTTAGTTCAGTAAACGCAGTGGATTGTAGAATATAGATCACTGGAAAAAAAAACGCGCGCTTTAAAGGTTGTAAATTTGATGTAAATATGATGTAAGTGTCACAAAATTCTGTAAATCTGATGTAAATGATTTCCATTTAATTTACAAAATTTTGGACACTTACATCATATTTACAATCTTTAAAGCGCGCGATTTTTTCAGWGTATTTGGGCCAAAAYATGGCGGATTTCTTTTTATTTTCTACAGAAGTTTASCACACAATGCATTGCGGATCACACAGGTGACGTCAAACCTTCAGAAGTCTATCTGACAGAAGCTGTCAATAGTTATGGACTTTTGATTCTYATAAATGTAGTTTGTTTGTTTGTTTRTTTTTTGCAAAAATTCACATTTTGAATTACCTGAGAAAATCTCTGTTTTCTTTGTGAGTTCCCTTGAGACCATATTTCTTGGAAAGTAGTGAGACGTATGAATTGGAAGGAAACCTGGCATACGACATTGACCCTGAATATTCGACACTTTGACAAGCTATCGGACATTTATCCAGCTTTTGATCCTCAAAATACGCTGCGAAGAGAAAAGGCACATAGCAAGCAAGCATAGAACTAGCGTGGGTAAGTGTTTCACCAATAATACTATTTGAAAACGTTTCGGACGATGATCTTTAAAAACAATAATATAGACGAGTAAAGTTATTGGTCTAGGATATGATTTTTCTCATGTATTTCCTAATTGCCCTGACGATGTCAGGCGGGACAGGGAGCCCGCCACTAAGAACGGCTGCGAGGAGACTACTGACGRTGCTGTAGTACAGCGGAAGCTTGGATTCCTCAAATTTACTTATTCCATCACAGCAGCCCTGGATACATTTGTATATTCCTTTCTTCATCACAATGATCACCAATACAAAACAAGATAGCAAACGCGAATAAAAAAGAAAAATACAATGACTTACCCCAAGCAGGCCAAGCACATGTCTGAGCTGTTTCAAAATCACACATTTTCGCTTTACCTGGTAAAGATTAGTRATTTATTTAGTGGTTAAGCTGTTCACTTACAGGTTCAGTGATCCATGTTACCTGCCCCTTGATCCACAGACTAATAATAACTTAATCCCTGATCAYACGCCTGTTATATAAAACCCCGATGATCCAAACCCCATGCAAGTCAAAAAATCTGATTCCTATATCGGCTTGAAAAGAGAGCGCAAACTTCATCCTTCACCATTATAGTTAGTAGAGGCGGACTAGCTACCTCCACTAACTACATTACCATCACGTGATATTGATTGTTAAGATTACCTGGCATAAACCATACTTTGCATTTACACTTTGCATCCACATATTGGGTGAGTTTGTCCAGGAAACACTTGGACTTTGTGTATCTATCGAAGTATTTCAGCTTTGGCATACCACAGTTTGTTTTGAACGGAAATGGTAGATTGGTAACCTAAATAGTCCAGGAAATATAAATACATGACCAGTTARAATCATGGGYAATTCAGAGTTGTACTAGCCCTTYTTACCGCKACCAACAGYTTGACGGAGCGGGCTAAAAGGGTYTGGGACTGGACTACATTGTACATTGCTTGCCGTTCAGAGGGCTTATCTGCGCTCAAGTCTTCCTGGCTGATGATCACACAAGCTATTTGCTGCGTGGTCACCGTGGACTTTACCATCATCGATGATCAATTTTTATAAGTATCTTAAATCTCTGCGAGTAATCTTAACCACTTCGTAACCGATCGACAATTGATAAAATGGAAGTAACAGAGTGAATCAATGATCAATTCAGTGAAGTTTTGTTATTTCTAGTGTTTGAATTATTCATATAATATATATATATATATTATCTCATGGAGTTTGCTCAGCAATTCTTTTTGGCGAGACTTTAGAATTGTAAAAAATCTACCCAGCTATGTTGGAATAAAACAAGACAACATGCCAATACTACCCTGAGTCGCTGTCTTTCTTTCTTTTAAGAAAAAAAAAAAAACAATTTAAATAAAAAAAAATGTTAAAAAAATTACTAACTTTTCCAATGAGCACAACCATCAATAATCGAAAGTAACTAATATTCCACTTTGTTTTGCTTTGCCTTCAGGGCATGCTTTAAGTCAATTATATAGCTATTGGTATATCAAGTACATTCTCTTCAATTTATTTTTAATTTGCTATATACGACTATTTTGCTAGTCTCTCAAATTTAAACTTGAAAATGAGATTTCATAAGTATGAATGCTAAAGAATCAGTGAYTGATCCTTGCTTTAGATTACTATAGAGTTATATATCGATATTATTGCTTATTGAGATTTTTAGATATTTGACATGATAAACACAGCGATGCGCCAGGGAACAGGAAACATTTCTACTTCAAAACTCCTTGACTGCTGTCCGCTTTGTGAATACCTGACACTGCTGCGACACCAAAAAAACAAAAACATATAACATTGAACCCGTATTTTCACATCAGTTTGTTTTGTCCTCTTGGAAGAAGATTGTAAAACATCTCAGCAGCGTTCGGAGGGAAAATCCTAGCTCTACCAGTAGGGGATCGTGTCTAACACTGTAAGGATAACAATGGCGCAAATCTTTATTACATAACATTATAGATTTCGGTTCTTGATGAAAGTCTGCTATTACAAAGCTCAGAACGTCAATTMTCTTAGTACAAGTCGCTCCGCCTAGAGATATAACAGCTTAGAGCCTAAAATTAACTAAATCATTGTTGTATTTGGTCCGTAGGAAGAAGCTTGTTTGTTCAGCGTGGGAAACTAGAAATCAGTTTTTACAGTAGCTTGTAAGGTGTTGACAATTTATACATATTGTATTGTAAKAGAAAAACAATCATTATAAGAACATCGCTTTGAATTGTGCAAAACRTATCCTAATAACGCGAAATAAAATGTTCTGTAATAGTTTCAATAGTTTATATAATACTATAACTATGGCTTTTACAACGTCTCTAAATACATGGAAAAATAAGTCAGGTGACGATATGTGATGCAAAGACAAAACATTCAAGCTGTCCAAGTCCTATTAGCTTCACTTCAAAAGCTTGTAATATAAGTAATGAAAAAATAATATAAAAACAGCTTGGAAAACATTTTGTCACTTTTATTCTCACTATTTTCGTAGTTTTGTATTTTCTTGGTAGTAGCATTGTTTCCGTGCAATGGTTTTTAACAATATGTACAATAATTAGCATCTGTCTTCGAAGCTAAGTCACCCAATTATAATCCGTGATGATTTCTTGTCTATGATTTATTCATGTTGGTATTTTTAGTTATTATCCCCACTTAGCGAAGAAAGAACTGGAAGATTGCCTTATCATATAAGAGATCCTTGTTTCAATGCATCCTTATTGTATAGGGTTTTTACTACACAATTACCGTTTCGTTAGCGCGCACTCTTCCCATATCTCCAAGCATGGAACTATAATTGTAAATGTCGCAGAAGTAAATATGACCGCACAGATTACAGATATATTAGAAATRATCTTCGCAAACGTAAACAAAAGTTATATTTGCGACGAAATGTCTCAATTTTCATTTAAGGAAAATTAGAAAAGAAAATCGAGAAAGTACAGSCTGCATTTTTTTAGAAGGGAAAAGATTGGTCTTGTTACCGCGACTTGAATAATTCGTGGTAAAACGGTAAAGTGTTCAGTTGATTCATAATGAAGGACAAGAATTAAATTCTGTTTAGAGGTAGTTGTGAAGTGTGAACGGAATGAAACTGATAGCAAAAAGAGTGTCTCTTTTATGTCGCCTTATGTTGGCATAGGAAATCACTAGTTTAGAAAAATCGCAATTAGAAGGGAACTTCTTTACAAAACACTTTCCAATTCTTGGCAAATTGACTTGATTATAATGTATATATGCATCAAAATGATGTATCAAAATCTATTTCTGTTCTAAAAGGCAATAAATACTAGTTAAGCGCCTTGGATACGGTAATTACAGCGAAAAAAAATGAAACTCAAAATCAATTAGTGGTTASTCCCAATATAAATGTTAATACAACTAGATAAGGTTGGAATAACCTATTGTACAGTGATGTAGTTACTGTGGGAGCAATTGCTTACTGGTCTTCAAAACCCCAGCCAATATCTATGTATTATGATGCACGGTTTGTCCTCACAAACATCCAATGATGGTCGTCGTAGCATGAGATCGAGAAAAGCCTTGGTTCTATCAATTCAAGGCCCCCATATGGGACCCCATACCGGCTAAGCAATCTATTTCTCAGTATAAAAAACTGTTTGGTTTGTTTGGCTCCATAAGATAACAGCAGGGAAAAAAGCGAAATGTTAATTTGAAACTACAGCTCTGCCTATTGGTTGACTATAGTTTAAGCTAAAAAGTTCCTTGTCTCTGCCAAGATGGAATTTTTTGCGTCGTTTAATAAAGTCGTTAGATCTGTCCAAATAAAAAACCACGTTATTTAAGTCATATAAGTCTTATTATTTAAATCTTGTAGGTATGTTATGTTTTTAAATATGGCCGTAAAARAGATAAATCAGTTTTTATCTTAAACTTGTATTACTTCTTCTATACAGCATTGTTTTGCCTTTGTCTCTTAGATTAACAATGATCGCGCGTTTTATAATGTTTTGAAAATTCATCGTGTCGGAGACAAGAAGTTCATAACTATGTTTACCAAACAGATCTATAATAGAAGTACCTTTTGTCTTTTGAGTTCCATATAGGTAGCAAAGCCAGGCGGTACGTAGATTCCCTGTAACTTCACCGGCGTTTCTTCCTGGTCGTGGAGTATAACAGAAAATCCCGCGCTTTTYACATCATAGTAATATTCATGGTGCTGTATGTCAATCAGTAAGCGCAGGCCATTTTTAGCCCCAACTTCTGAAGTTCTAAGTTTAATTCCATTCTGCCCAGAATTGAAAGTATAGCAAAAATCGCCATCGGCTGTTTTAAACTCGGTGAAGTTTCCCGAAGAACATGGGACATTTTGTTGCCATGTGCACTCCTTGATCATGTCTTGAAGTTCGTGTTTAGCATTTGCTAAAGTGGAGTTCATCACGGCTCCTGTTATGTTGGCTTGAAGTTTCGAATCTTCAGGATTGCTGCCTTTCATTCCTTGTCTGGCRCGAAATACTCTGTCCATGAGGGTACCATTAATTCTAGACATACGCGCATCGTTCCTATTACATAAAGATATCGCGGGGAATGGAAGACTATCATTATATACAAGTAATGTAGTTGTAGTAAACGGATACTGGAAGTAGCTATTAATACTCTCGCTACATTTCTCAAAGAATAAAGAAAAGGCACCCAGTARCAGTACAATCCAAACTAGTCGCCTTAAAGGTGGGTTACCACTGAAGCAATAATGAAATCCATGCAATGTGCAGCCCTCAAGGAAATTCTCCCACAAATCTTGTATCTTCTTTTTCTTTTTCTTCTTATCGAGGAGTTTCTTGCARCCTTCGTAATCATTGTCCTTTTGGCATTTGTCATAGTCGCTGTCTACATAGTCACTAGTGTGGTTGTTCGACAAGGGCCAGCGAGGAGATAACGATTCAACAACATTAGAATGCTTGCCTTCTGATTTCATATACACCACCGATATGTCCTTCTTACAATGGTTACAAAACGCGTATATATTGTTTTCAGGGTCTGTGTCTTTATCGTCGACTCCTTTGATGATGATTTTAACATCCCGCTCTTCTTCWTCTTTTCCTGCGTGGTTAAGTGTAGTCATATCGATGGAACTACGCGACACTGAACTAGCGATGGTTAGAGGACGAGTCCCTAAAAAAACACCGGCAGCATATCATAAAGTGATAACAGTACATGGTCCGAGTACTCTACGTAATCTTAGAAACCAACTTATATAGTAAGCTATTTCTAATTGAAGCCAAGGTGTTTCGAAGTAGGGACGTAAGCGGGYATAGTATCATCCAATCGTTATGACGAGTTTTGARCCCCCTGCTTGTTATTTTGCCTCAATTACCTCGCTTATCTGAATTGCAAAGTAGACGCTCCAACGTTTGTGGCTAGCGGTTAGTGATTTTGTTTTATATTAATTATATTGCAGCTCGCAAAACCATATGACAGGTGTCCTAGAATGTTTATAAGTCAACAAAATTGTACTTAAGAGAAGAATTCTGGACATTTCACTCGAGTTTTTATTGTCCGAGCAAACTGGATGTAATATTTATCTCATTTGTCGTTTAACTTTAGGACAGTCATGTTTACTCACCAATAATATGCCACAAAAATAGGCGCTCGTACACACTGAAGGGTTACACACAATTGACAAGGACACAGAGCACCTTTGTTGGAATCACAGTTGACAACTAATATCGAAGATATGAATTTTTAACTGCCATGTTTCTCACACATTACACGTTTTGTGTCCGATTGAGGATTTTTGCTGTTGTAGTTCTAATTGTTTTTRTATTCCCACAGTAATGACACTTGAACAGAATTGGTTAAATCTGTTGTTTTCATAAGGATTAACGAAAAGTCGAAATTCTTCGRGAGATTATTAAGCTTTCTCAAAGAGCTACGGAAAGAAGGTTTGACAATTTGATCATCAGTGATGATATTCCTTTGTACTTTGAGTTGGTAGATAACATCACAAACAATAACTCACAATAGTCAAGTCTTCTAATCGCGTTTTGAAAGCGATTATATTAGTTGAGAATTAAGATTTTTTGTTCAAATAATTTCACTTCATTTAAAGGATCAACGCGCAAATCTTTKAAGGATTTGTTCGTTAGTTCACYACTTCAAATCAAGACAATGTTTACCACAAGAGTCTCTTTGTAGCAACCGTTTCGCAGTAAAAGTAACAGTCAGGTTTAAAAAAATATCTTTTTCTGGCACTACTGATAATTGTTGGACAGATTTCTCTAACCACTCGACAACATCTTTAATTAATCGACTAATTCCTTTTATTTCTCAAAACCAAAATATTCCATTGATAATTTCGGCAAATTTCATTTTATGTTTGAGGCAAGCCTCGAGCAATTTAGGCACGTGGGAAAATCAGTTAGTAACATTCGGCAGAATAAACAAAGACAGGATTTCGGGCCCAAGGCGAGAGAGCTAATTAAGTCTTTATCGTTTGGTGGTTAATTATGACTTGAACAATTAGTTTGAAATATTAAACTACGGAACGCTTGAATCGTATCACATATACCTGCTTCGGTTTAGTGTTTTTCTCGCTTTTCGATAGAGTTTTTTGTCCACCTGTCATAGCCCAATAGACGAACCAGTCATGTTTTCTTCGCTAGCGTTGTGTTATACAACACTTTGGCATATAAACTGACTTTTTGCTAAATCATTCTGTAATATTTGTGTATTTTACTGAATGCCTTCAGTAAGTGGACACTCCGGGTAGGACACTATACCGCAATCACCGCACCGTCACGAGCTATCTTGTCGATGCGCCTTTATTCGCTGTTTACTACAAATTGCCAATAACAAATCAGGCTTTTGGAACACGATTTCATTAGCTTAGAGCAAAATTYGTGTTATCGGTCAGGCAAGCACATTAAAAATGAATATGTCAAATTCAAAATAATAGCAAGCCAAAAATAATRTTTTTGTTGATCATTACAATGCAATCCATCTATCAAAAGAATATCGAGTAAAGTTATGCAATGCAACTTTGCTAATGCCATACATTAAAATTCAAATCACAGTTTATAGGTTAGTTTAAATGATTTKTTTCTCCATCCAAGTCACTCGTAGGTCAGGGTCTCATAGTGTTCTGGCTGCACGTGACGTCATAGTCACCATGTTGGATGATCGCATGAAATTACCTTTCCCCTCRGAGTTGCTCATATTCATTCAACATGATGACAAAGCTTTGCTCATTTAACTTTCTCAAGGAGTTCTTTGTCGATGCACGCGCACAACAAGAATAGGACTTTGAAATACTGCTTAATAGCTTCCGAGAAAACAATTAACACAAAAATACTCAGGGTATAAATGGAAAATTGAAATAAAGACAGGAAAATATAATAAAAACAAAAAAGGCAAAAAAAACATGACTCTCAAAAACGACAGGAATGATCGGTGTTATTTCATCTAGTCCGCCATTTTGAATTCCAAGAGTGGACTGGGGTAAAATGTGTTAAATAAAGTGTTGYTTCGCAGTGAGTTTTTTAGAAGCAATCTCCACCAATCAGATTCGGKATTTCATGTCAGGTTTTGATTGCGGTTTCTCATTGGTGAATCAACAGCCAATAGGAATACAGAAATAATGTGTTGTCAAGTTGGAATTACTAATTCAATGGATGTTTACACGTTAGATATCGTTAAGATACAATTATTCGGATTTAGAGCTGCTTAAAACAATTTACAGTACCAGAAGAGYGCAATGGTGGACCCAGGGAGCTATATCCTTCCCCCTTTTCAGGGTTAAAAAAAAATAGAAATTATGATCAAATAATTGAAAAGAGGAAATAAATCTGAATGGCACTCATTCTGAAAAACAACTAAAGCAGCGTTCACCTGAAAGAAATTTCCCGCAGCACTAAATCTATTAATTCTAAAATTACAAGAACAAGAAGAGCAAGGGTTCTGAATCCCCCATTGYATAAATCCAATATGGCGGCATAGTACGGAGTACTACACAAACAACAATAACATACCTTCTTCAGCTCTAGATGGACTTAATCGACTCAACATCGTCTGTTACAATGCAAAACAAAGTTTAAGGAATTTATATTTGATCTGCTCGTGGACAAYTGGCATCCATTTTATTATAAGGTATAAGATTGCAGGCATGAAGTCAATCTCATTAACGTTGGTCAATCTGTGAAGACAAAAAGACAACAACTATAAAATTATTTGAATAAGACCGCTTTACGCAGCCTATAGGCCTCAATTGCACATAGAATTTTATTGCCTTCTTCGCGATATAGTTTTGCAGCTTTGAAAGTATTATTAAAAGTCAAAACGAGACATACATACATATGATTTTATTATCTTCACATCTTTACAAATAAATAACCTAAGCGGGATTGACTATCATTACGAGATTCTTATTGGTTCTTAGACGTCCAGTACAAGACAATGTTGGTTGCAGGGGAAACCCAGATTCGTTCGTATTATTGTTAA